GAGAGAAGAAGAAGCCGGAGGGACTCTCAAAGGAGAAGAAAATCTTCGAGGGATTCGAACAAATTACTGAAGCCTGAAAGGCAAAGGACTTATAGTTTTTCTCCCGGCCGACACGATAGCATTCGCGTGCAGAGAGACGTGCATAGACCTCCGGTTCCTCCTTTACCTGCAGATGCTCGAGACGGAAGAGACACAACAATTGGACTTACAGATCAAGAAGCCGAGGAGTTAAAGGATTGGCAGAGGGTGCCAACATTACATGAAAGAGGTGCTGCGGAACTCTCAAGGCGAAAGTCGAGTAAAAAGCGCAAAGAAGAATTTAATAGGGAAGAGGAAATTAAAGCAATGGTTTCTTTTATGCCCAGTAGACCGGCCGCAGATGCCTCATCATCTGGTCGTCCCATGAAGAGGGATAGCAAGAGAATGCGGACTGGGTTGAAAGGGAATTTACAAAACCCGCGTTCGGATATTTCACTGCCAACAGCGGAGTCGATGCGTTCTTCAGTATCTTCGAATTCCGAACATCAAACATCATGGAGAATATCTGCATTAGATGCGTTGGCACCACGCCCTACGATTCGACATTCCGAAAACCCTCGATATGCGCCTGGCGTAACCGGTTTTGGTTCGGACAGATCAGACTCGCAAAAGCGACGTATTTTGGATCGCATACATATTCCAGAAGAAGTTCTGAAAGCAAATAAGAGAATTGATGAACTTGCCGATGATCTGGACGCCCGAGAGCTTCGGGAGCTCATGGAAAGAGATCAGAAGAGGCGGGAAAGGAAGAAGGCAGATGAGAAGCTGAAGGCAGAGAGGAGGTTAGCAAGAAAGCAAGAGAAACAAAAGGCCGAAGAAGCAGCTGCAGCTCGATACGGTACACCACCACCGGATAACATGGAGAGGGGGGTCTTAGGAAGAGAGGTAGTAGGCTTGGGCATTGGAACTTCCGCGGTAACCACATCAAGCAAGAGGAGAGGATCGGATACTTGGGATTCTGGAAGAGGAAAGCGACCTGCGGATGCCTTTTTCAAAGACTCTCCTTCGCACGAAACTCCATTCGTCGACGAGAACCCAACCCCTTCTTCAGAACGTTCCGTAGCATTCTTAGGAACTGCACAGGCTGGCACTATCGGAAAAGCTAATGTTTCACCACCTGCTTCACCAAAGGGCCATCTTCGAGGGCCGTCGAAGATGTCACAGGTGGTAAACCTAGATAAATCCAGGACTCCTTCTCCAGCTAAAAAACAGCGAGTGGGGACAGAACCTGTCAAGCAGCCTGTAGAAGCCAAAACTTCTCAATCGTGGACATCATTCTTTAGACGAAACAAGAGACTCAGCAGGACTTCTACACCATCCTTCTCGAACACTTCACGAGAAACAGTGCAAACTGGGCCACCACCACACTTGGGATATACGCCAGTGGTTAGGCAAACATCAAACATCCCCAAACGAACGATGTCAAAGTTTAGAGAAGATTTGCCTGAACTTCCAGTTTCACCACCGGACTCCCGACTACAATCTCCTGAGGCTGATGTCGTACCACCAATACGAAATGCTTATCCAGATAAGAGAGGTAGTGTACGAAGATCTTTGGAGGAACAACGCAGATACGATACTCCAATCAGTATCGCGCGTTTACGAGATAGCACACCTACCAGTGGTCACAGATCAACAGATGTACCTTCACCCGAACAACCCGCTCTTATTTCCCAATCTCTTGCATCAATAGATTCCGAAGGATCATGGCTTTCTGGAAAGAAAACAGCTTCAAAACGAGGATCTGCACAGATGACATTGTCACCATTACGCGATTCTGCTAGCTCTTTACAACAACGCTATAAAGAATTATCAGAATCTTCAGAAGAACTTGGAATTGCTGAAGATGAATACTTCAGCCGCATTACACCGGGGCCCGAGGAAGAAAATATGATGAAACGTCAATCTACCGGTCTTCCCATGGCTTCTAGCGATGAGGAAGATGGAGCTAGCCTTAAAGAAAATCCATCTCCAGAAGGGCAGACAAAATGGGGAGCTGTGGCAAGACATGCTACTGTAATTCACCGTGAACGAGCGAAATCTCGCGAGGGGCTTTTGGATGAGGCTGCTGAAGATTCTCCAGGCTACCGAAGAAGTGTTAGCTATCAGGTTGAATTCGTCGACGAGGATAGTACTGGTATTAGCAGAGCTACAAGTGTTGACTTCGGACATGTTAGAAGAGTCAGTGCGGGTAGCGCGAGACTTCTTGACATGAAACCAAGAGCTTCTGGGGAGGCACGAAGGACGAGTGTGAGTCATAATGACTCGTAAAGTCGGACTGGTGGAAAGATGAAGATTTTCAAGGACAATGACAAAACGAAACGAGCACCACATTCTTTTAATTATTTCATTACAACAATTTTGTCATTATCGACACCCACGCTCATTGCAACTTTTCTTTTGTCAGCATTCGCTCCTTTAACAAACATTTCCTTATAAAAAGGCTCGAATCGACCTAAAAAAAAAAGAGTAAAAAAAGCTTCGCCTCGATCATTGTCATTGTCCATGACATCTTTATTCTATACATCAACTACCAACTTCTCATCAATTTACTCGCATTACTCCACAATCACTATTTCACGGATTCACGACAAAACCTTTTCTTTATTTCTTTTGCTTTTTTTCGGTTTCATAATGAATTGATATCCCCACTAGCACATAGATGTTTCTGCTTTTTTTTTGCATTTTGACATTTTCGAATCGATACCCCAACATGTATTTGAAATAGGGGACCGAAAAAAGAAATCGGGGTATCGTTGGGGAGTGGAAAATTATGACGGCGTCACTCCTTTTTTACAGGATCTTGGGGAAGGTTTTTGGGCGAAGGAGGAAATGGAAGGGGAGGAAAATATGTAATATTACTTCTTGAGCGGAAGAGATACCCGGGGATAAGAAAGATGAGGGGGAGAGGGGGAGAGAGCAGGGCTCTTAAGGATTGGGCATTTGAGGAAGATTATAGTATTTAGTAATAGTGAGCTATCTAGCTTCTTCTTTTTTGAAACTTCTTTTCCCTTATGGTTGATTGATTTCTTGAGGTATAGATGAGGTGAGATGAGTGAGAATTGAGAAAGACTTCAGATTTCCCGGAATTTGATGCGAGATTTGGGGATGGGAATTAGGGATTGAAATCCTTGGAGGTTGTGTTGTATGGGGCGAGGGAGGAAAGAAGCGGAGAGGAGGAGGAGGGGGAGAAACGAGACGAGACGAGATGAGATAGCTTAGCTTAGCTTAGCTTAGCTTAGTTAGGGGATATAGGTCGTCGATACCTAGGTACCTACTCGTTATTATGATTGTATTATATTATCTGATATCTGTTTGAATTTGAATGTGTTGGGAAAATTGTAGGGGTGAGGAATATGTATTAGGAGAATGGATGGATGGATGGATGGAGTTGGATGTGTGATTGATGAGGTTTAATATGATTTAATATAATCTGATATGATGGGTATGTATATATATGTGTATATATATGTATATGTATATGTATATGTGTATATATATGTATCTGTATATGTATCTGTATATGTATCTGTATATGTATCTGTATATGTATCTGTATATGTATTTGTATATGTATCTGTATATGTATCTGTATATGTATCTGTATATGTATCTGTATATTATGTATTTGTATCTGTATATGTATATGTGTCTGGACAGATGGGTACGTAGGTGGGTACGTAGGGGTTTCAGCTGATGTTTTCTTTTGGTGTGTGTATGCATGATATGCATGGGATGGGATGGGATGGGATGGGTGGATGGATAGGTAGATGTGATGGAGCTATTAGCTGCAGGTACAGGTACAGGATGGAGATATGATGATATGGATGAGGGGAAAGGGGCGGTGGATAGGATGTTTTTCAGCTGAGAGATGGGATGGATTTCGTGCATGGAGGTTTGAGGGGAGATGGATGGTTGGGCGGCGGGCTTGCTGTTGTGGGTTAGGGATTGGGGATTGGGGATAAGGTTGTGTGTGATACCTACCTAGGTACCTACCTGTATTGTGTGGTATCACGAAGAGGGGCTGGGGCTGAAACGGGGAGATGGGAGGGGACGGGAAGATGAGAGATAGAAGATTATGTCATTCAGGATTGGGGCTGGGTTGTATGTAATCCGTACGTGTGATAGGTGGTGGGATGGTAGAGTATGAATACTAAGTATTTGGTTGTGTGTGTATGTATGTATCACGGAGTGGGAATTTGAGATCTAAAAGGAGCTAAGGAGTCGTGGTGTTGTGATACGATGTTGTGATACTGTGGAGGGGTGATTGTATGATGTATCTGTCGATTGCATAATTGGATAGTGGGCTTGTTGGTTGATCTTCTGTGATCTTCTGTGATAGGGTCTACGTAGAGGTATGGTAATTCATGTCTCGAAAGTATAGAGAGAGGGGTGGTTGTGTCTGGATGATAGCTATTGATGAATGAATATCGTAGGCGATGGATAGATGTTTTGGCCAAACTTATGATGTTATGATGTTATGATGTTATGATGTTATGGTATCTATAGAGATGACTTGGGAATCCGGATATCTTTGGGTTTTCCCTGTTTAATCACATCTACCAGTCGCCGAGCTTGTGATATTGATGGCTTGTCAATGAGAAGGAAAAAGCAAACAACCAAAAGATAAGAGCGACGGCGAGACCGAAAGAATTCCAATACAAATCATGATATAATCCCAAAATAGATATCATATCAATACCACCCATTCTACCATTCTATACCCGAAACAACAATGTTCTAGAAAGCATGGAAGATTCTTTGGAATCCATCATACACACTCCAAACACACTTCAGCCAATCATATCTTATCATCCATCTGACAAGGATAAAGAATCTAGCCCATCTCTGCTTACACAATCATCATTTCGTCATTTGCCGCCTGGATTATCAGGTATCACATACAATTATTACCCCTCTTAGAAATCAATCGGCATTAGAAAGCATCGGAAGAGAAACAAACCATCTTACGGATCTTCCATAACTTCCCATCTTCTTCCCGTCAGCCTCCACAAACTCCAAAACATACAAATACTCTTCAGATATCCGCGAGAGTTTTCATATGTCATTCTTCATCCGATCTCTTCCACGATTACCAAAAACTTATAATCGCTCCGTCTTCTTGCAATCTATAAACAAAAGAGCTTTTCATCAATCCATCGCAAATATGGGTGTTCACAACATTGCCAAGTGAGTTTTACCCCCCTTCCCCGTCCTTCTCTCCAGAAACGGGATGTATACGTCCCCCCTCGGCTCTGGGATTGGTATATTGGAATATCTCATCGATATCTCTATTCGGTCGCGTCACAATATTATACTATATCTTCGATGATATGTGTAGCTTGTGTGGGTGGGGCACGAAGAGCTTTCCGGGAGAGATCCATACCTAGTATAAACACAGATATACAAACACAAATGCTAATAGAAAATCAATAGCGCAACTGAATTCAAGTCTGCTCTTACTGATAACCAAGTCGTTGTTCTCGACGCCTTTGCAACATGGTGTGGTCCTTGCAAGGCCATCGCTCCTAGAGTTGCTAAGTATGTTTTCTCCCTTGATTGCCTTGTCTAATTACCTCCCCTTATCCTTTTTCACAAAGGAAAATAAGAAATGAAAAATACTAATTCGCATCAAATAGGCTCTCGGAAGACTACCCCGCCGCCCATTTCATCAAAATCGATGTCGATGAGTTGCCAGAGGTATCACAAGAGCTTGGTATCAGAGCTATGCCTACCTTTATAGTTTTCAAGGGAAATGAGAAGGTTGCAGAGGTTGTAGGTGCCAACCCTGTTGCGTTGGAAAATGCTATCAAAGAAGCTGTTGAAGGGGTTGAGTCTAAGGCTTAGAAGGGGTGTTTGTGATGATTGAGGAGTGAGGGGATGGGGATAAAGGATTGAAAGGAATTTTATACACATGGGTAGAATATCGTGTCCAAGGGGACTAGACCGCATGGTTTATTTTGGGTTCTGGTATGTGGAGGATGGGAAATCAACGTATGAATTGATGCATTAGAAAGATGTGATTTGAATTTAGGATTCTTCTTGTGAATGAGCTATGAATGATTGGGATGAATTCACTCGGTTTTCGCGTAGTCTTCATTATATTGTGAGGTCTCTGACCGATATTAATCACATGGGAAGTTTCCCTTACCTAGGAGAAAAAACGCGCAACCGCCATGAAAAGTTGGAACAAACATCTCCCAACCCCTTTCGCATTAATGCAGAGAGCCCGAGCATTTTGTAACTCGATACCATGCACTTCCATCCGTCTTATGGTTGTTACCTGAGCTACCTTTCTCGACCTGTTGGTAGATTGTACAGGCCGCTCATTTATGTCGATAGGTTGAAATGGATTGACCGATCTTGACCTCGACCTTGACCTCAACCTGGGTTGACCACCACTCTTCTGGTCTGTGGCATAGGAATAGATGCGGATCTGTGTTTCATCGTGTGTGCTTTTTTTTTTACCCCTGGTTGGATTGATGGTCGATTGGTCAGCTGGTTGGTTGGTTGTTGGTTGTTGGTAAATGAGGAGGGGGAGGGGGGAGAGAAAAGACGAAAAAAGAAAGAAAGGTGAGGGAGCGAGGGTATTTGCTGAGGGTTTTTTGGGATAGGAGTTGCTTCTTGATGGTTACTGCGTATTAGGACTGAGCTGAAGTTTCACGGAAAGTGGTACTGTAGGTTGGCTTCCTGGGCTGAGATTGGAGAGATGGGGTGGTTTGGGGTCTGGTTTTGTGTATTTTGTGTATTTTGTGGTTGAGATGTTGATGGCCTGGTTTGAATTTTTGTTCCTGGGAGGTCGGGCTAGATTGTGTTGGTGGTTGGTGTGGTGTGGTGTGGTGTGGTGTGGTGTGGTACGGTACGCTGGTTGGTGTGAGGGCTTGCCTTAGGTTGTGTGAGAGGGAAAATGTATAAATATGGATATGGATATGTAGATGATAGAGACCTTTTCATCTTGATTTTGATTTTCAAGATATATGCATCTTCTCTCCTGATTTTGAGACTTGTCTTCTCAGCGCTCTTGTTTTTGTTCTTTCTCTTGTATTTAATGCACCAATAAATTGTGTGCTTGAGTTGATGGTTCTTCGTTGTATTCGTTGTAAGGTTATTTTTTACTTACTTTGAGGAATCAGTATCATTTCTTCCTTTCTAAATACCGTGTTATCAGCAAAGTTGTTGAAGATGCGAGTACTACATCATCTACATCACATTACACGAGGAATTGGAAAGAATCAATCGATCAATCCATTTGTTCTTCGATTTCAGCATCTTTGAAAAATTGGTGACGCGATATTAATGAATGATAGATGGATAGAATACAGAGAAAATTTTCTCGATGGATCGAATGCAATTGAATACCTGTATGTATGTTGGGTGTTGATATCTCGGTCTCGGTCTTCGTCTTCGTCTTCGTCTTAGTCGATTGGAGTACTAGGTACATAACAGAATAACAGACACGAACGACGATATGGATGAAATTTATGGAATAACGTGTCGAGAGAAAAAGGAATGAAAATAAAAATGAAAATAGAAGGGTTATCGAATCGCTCGGTTGGGAAATATAGGATTCAGCTGAGATATGCTAAGGGCGATGGGGGAAGGCCTGTGGATGTTTATTTTTTTACCGAGGGGATTTTGCTCTTGGCTTTCCTTCTGGGGGGGTTTTCTTTCTTGTGTTTTTTTTTCTCTTTTTCTTCTTCCCTTCTCTCATTTTAATTTCCGGAAATGGCTCGCTCTGTCCATATACAACACAGGGAGGTAAATTTTCCAATTGACGAACTCCCAAACGAAGGAATGATACCGAATCGACGATGGATGTCATTATATTTATTCTATCTCTTTACGAGAAGACTAATTCATTACCGGAAAACACTTTATGCATATTCATTATGGATAAGAAAAATAAACATATGAGGATGTAGATGGATATTAATCTTACAGATCAAAACACCATGTTATGAGAGGCTACTAGATGTTTGAGCGCGAGTTTGTAGATTGTTTGAGGGAGGAGAAAGGGGGGAGGGGGGGGGGGGTTAGCCAAATACGCGATTTGAGGGGAAATCTACTTTGTGCTATGCGCTGGGAGATGAAGGTGGTGAGTATGTATATGTATGTATGAATGTATACATGGAGGATGACAGATAGACACTATAAACTTCAAGTGAAATCCGAGGACGAGGATCCAGAATTCCTTTTCGGTTATCGATGAGTATCGAGAATGAGCTTCTATACACAATGATTAAGAACGGCGGGGTAGACGCCTTCTCATCATGGGTTTCTTCTCTGGGTTAAGATTAGACTCTTTGGTATGATGGATGGGTTTCTTCACTCGCGGCGAAGGTTGAGTCTTGGGTTCTAGTCGATTGTGTATTATTTTGGATGAGATGCATCGTGTGCTGCTCGATTATTCTATTGATGTATACTTCTGATCAAATTAAGGTGATGTAGGAGAGAAGATTCCCCTCTGTGTTTAACATACAAAATAGCGCAGAATCAACGCGGATAGTACTTCCAGAGATGAATAGTTGAGGAGTTCTTAAGGGAAGTACATCGATTCTCCTAGATACTCGTACGATGGTGCAGATACTGAATCTTTCAGGTTGAAGCAGATTCAGATTAGATTGTACGATTTGTTTACATTTATCACCTCTGCAGATGAGATCTGGCTCGTTATGAAGCCGTGATACAATGGTCATTTCGATTTTCATTTTATCTACATCGCTCATTATTTATTCTCTCTTTCCACTCTTCCATCTTCTCGCTTTCTCCCGCTTCTTTTCACCTACGGGAAATACCTCAAGTTTAGTTCAAGCCCCCCCCTCCACCCCCTCGAATCAAAAACTGACATATATCAATCTCACGAATCCACATCCGCAATCCTATCCAAACCCTTCTTCGAGAGATCAAAATACCACGACTGACTGCTAGCTCTACCATCCAGCCAGAAGCGTAATCTATATCTACAATTATTTATATCTCCTATCTTTAAGCTATCTTTCTCAAAAGATAGAAGTACTGGATATCAAATTTCTCACTATCTCTCATAAACGAATGGATTGTAGAATACGCGGTAAGATTATACACGAGATAGATCAATATCGTGGATATCAAAATATATCCCCCCCCTCACTAAGTAGTGAAATCTAGCTCTAGCATCACAACCAATAATACTATATATATACTATGAAACTAGAACACGAAGAAAATCGCGACAATACCAATACCAATACCAACCATACCTACCTACCTACCTACTAACAACAATCCCATCTCAAGCAACCATTCCTCAAACTCGACTTTGAAATTTGAAATGTTCATCTCGTTTGTATCTTTAGAGATTTGCGCTTTAGTAGTAACTTCTCTCCCACAACACAACTCCCAACTCCTAACATCCAATGTATGCACACCACACCACCACTAATAAACACAACCCAACAGCCCCCTCCTCAACATTCTCAGCCTTAATCTTGAATATATGTACCTACCGGCCTATTATTTACTTCATCTTCAATTTCCCATTTTCCATTTCCATCCCAAGGTTTCCTTCCATGCTAATGACTACCTGCATGATGCGGTGTGTGTTTGAATATCCGGATTGAAGATCTCATACGACATCCAATGTATCTGAACAACCCGGTTTAGTTCTCTATCAACTTCTCAATCTAGAACATCATATCATATCACATCACATCACAACTGCACAAGCACGAAATGTTCATTTATAAAATCTTTAATTCCAGAGAAGAAAAACGTAATCTATGTACCACAAACGCAATGACTTCGAACAAACAACGAAAGACGAGTCTAACAAATCCAACAGTTCCACAAAAAGGTCTCTCTCGACCGATGATAATGAGTCTCTTTAAAAGACTACTCAAACAAATAACGCCAGTTTAATCCATCCCAATGTTCCATTGTTCTATTCCATGCACCTCAATAATGCCATAATCCATTCCCATTTTTGATATCCATACAGTCCAATTCCGAAACGCCAATTCATGAATGCAGCCATCACCATCTACAACCACGCTCAATCCTCTCTATTATCGCCCTTCCCGCAATTATTCAATAAGGAAAACATATCTGCGATGATTAAGAGATAACTGCCTTGATGGTCCGGATCAAAGTCCTAGGTAAAAACCAGAGATCCATCAAGGTCAGTCTCTCAAAATCATTGCAGATATGTTTTCCTTATTGAAAAATTGCAGTCAGGCCGAGTTCGAGCTGGATTGATTGCGGTGTATCAGGATCCGGACTGCGCTATCTACAGCGAAAAAAATCAAACACGCGGCGATCCGAAATTTAATTTTCTGGAATACCAGCCAAGAAGGAGAATTGGCCACCTCCTGCTGCCCAGACAAGCTTCTTTCCTTCAATGTGCTTGTTCTCGAGCTCCTCTGCAATGTAGACATCTTGTTCGTCTTCCAAACCAGTCTGTCTATAGGTGTTGAATCCCCAAGAATAGTGAGGACTGTGACCATCAGGGCCAAGAACGATGCTGTGGTCACTGCCCATAGCAATGTATGATCCCTTAAATGAGAAGGTGAGAGGTGTCTTGATGATCGATCGTTGGTCACGTTCGTTTCTGATGATGACATCTTCTGGAAGTGCCTCAACATCATGGCCAGAAAGACCATCCTGAGCTTTGCCAAAGTAAAGAACCTCGCCTTCATGGGTGAGTGCCAAACTGGAAGCGTTGCCTGCGGCCATCATCTTGATATTCTTGTCTTTGAGAATATTGACTTTGGTAGCAGTTGAAGTGACTTCTTCAGTCAAGGTACCATCTTTGCTGAATTGACCACATTGACCCATGTTGTTTGCTCCCCAAGAGTAAACGGTGCCGTTCTTGTGAAGGGCGAAACTATGTTCTGATCCACAGAAAATGTCGACCATGGCCTTTGGTAGACCAAATTCACGAGGTACGAGAGCATTCAATCTTGAACGTTCAACGATTCTTCGACCAAGCTGATTATGCTCACCAGCACCCCATGCGAAAACAGAACCCTTGTTGTTAAGAGCAAGGTAATGGTTGTTACCAGCGGCGAGCTTGACAATGTTCTTCAAGCCAGGAATAAGCATTGGAACCAAGGTCTCCTTGACATCTTTGGTGAAGCCCATTGGACCATCAGCACCCTATTAGATAGTTAGTATAATTGATAAAAACGTTGTGGTGATTAAACTTACTCTGATTGATCCCCATCCATAGACCAAGCCATCGTTGGTGAGAGCGTAAGTAGCGTTGTCACCTGCAGTGATTTGGGTGAAGATGGTGTCTTCTGGTACATTGGTCAAATCAACTTCGCCAGGGGTTGATTCCAATGGGTTGCGGGCATCTGCGGCAGCTGATTCATCATCTGACTCTGCGTCGGCGTCTCTCTCAGGTGCAACCCAGTCATCGGTCTTTCTACCCAATGCCAATCCATCGGCAACACCCCATGTAAGGATCTTGTTGTCTTTGGTAAGAGCAGCTCCGTGCATACCACCAGCAACCATCTGAACAACACCACGAGCAGTGAGGGCGGGGTTCTTGACTGGTCGATTGATCGTATCTTTCTTGGTTTGAAGACCAAGACCAAGCTCTCCAGCTTCATTGCAACCGAAGACATAAATGTCCAAGAGCTGAGTAGGAGCGAAGTTGATAATTGTCTTTGGCTTCACAACCTTTGGTTTGACAATCTTTGGCTTGACGACCTTTGGAGCCTTGGGCTTTGGAGCGGCCTTGGGCTTTTTGACTTTGGGGAGAGGCTTCGCAGCTGCTTTGGTGGCAGGCTTTTTGGTGGCAGGAGTGGATTTGGTAACTTTTGCCTTCTTCGAGGGTTTTGCGACAGGCTCATCGACATCTTCGGTGGATTTGCGCTTGTTTGATTTTGGTGCAGCAGGCTTTGATGGAGCGGCTTTGGCGGCAGCGACTTTCTTTGCCATGGCAGCTTTGGTAATGGTTGTCTTCTTGACGGTGACAGGTTTGGTAGCAGTGGCAGTC